GCATATTCAACCCAGGTCAGTCGTCTTCCATAGGAGTAAGTATGTTTGCACTGGTCATTCCAGGGTCTTTCTTCATTCTTATTTTTCCCAAACTGATTTGAGAACAATATTAGACTTCTATGTTTAAAACTACATAGTGTGAATCAACTTGGAGGTCTCAGTAAAAGCTAATGATTGTTTCAGATGATATTTTGTTCTAGAAAATTGAAATGGAAAGTGATCAGCAGGATGAGTAGCAATCACACATAGGTTTTGAAGAAAAGTGTCTTCAGTCGCTCATTGAGCAAGTGGATCAGAGTCTGTGGGGGCCAATCAGAAGTGATTTACTCATAGGATAATTCTGCCAATCATAATTTATTTATCCAAGTTATAAGTATATATATTTTTATTAGAATGTCAAAGTAACTGCAATGTTATCATTAGGCATTTCTGCTCCACTTAAGTGCAAATATTACAAGCAAATCAGTACATAGGGAACACCCCTGCATGCATTTACTGAATAAACATTTGCGAGTACCTGGGAGGAGGGTCTGACACTGAAGGAGAGAAATGATGCAGAATCAGAAACACTGTTTTGAGTAAGATGAAGCAGCAAGTCCTGAGGGATTAAGGGTTTTGCAATTTGTTTCAGAGGGTCAATTCCTAAGGAATTACATTTGAAGAGCAGTGACTGCTGTGTAATAATTTCTCTGCCTGAGCTTGGGCTAGGTCTCCTTTTAGGAATGGTTAACTAGGTAATTTCTAATGTAGAGCTGCTATCAGTTGTGAAGGTTTTGTTTTTTTTTTTTTGATAAAACATGTACTGCAGTTAAGAAAACACTGGGAAAAACAGTTTTTTTCTGATTACAAAATACAACCTAGAGATCAAAAAACATTTATTAAGAGTTATAGCTAATAATAGTAATAGTTTCAGTGAAAGTGCCTTTACAACTTTAACATGGAAGGAAATCATAGACTTGGATTGTTTATTTACAAGCAGAAATGTCTTCCTATGACATCTATTACATAATTATGGCTCAGCAAGAAATGTGCAGAACTCTGGTCTTCAATCCAAAATTAGAGCGAGCTGGAATGCTGTCCTTGGTACCCAACACAGCAGCGAATATTCCAAGTCTCAAGACTCTCCTGCTTCATGTAGGAAAGAAAACCCATGCAGCACGCTGGCAATCACTTAATGGCCATAGGTATTAGTATTTTATACTAAGTAAGTTTTGTAGTAATTTATGGCTAAATATAAAAAGTCGAGAAACAAGAAGAAAACAAGTAAAATAAAGAGAGAATGTATTAGTGGTAGGGATTTTAACTTAGACAATATCAAGGCATCTGTTTGGGTGTCTGGGTTGTTATGATGACTCTGAAAAGCTTCATGAATGAGGTTTTATTGAAGAATCTCACTAAAATGAACTCCGTAGTCTGATTTTAGAAACTATAAAATGCACTGGAATTATACTTCTCAGTAATCACCAGACCACAGCAAAAACAATACAGAGATTTGGCATAATATCTAGAAAACATTGGACATGATCTCAAAAAGTCCCTTTATATCATTAAACAAAAAAACATTTAAAATGTCAAAGTAGTTTTTCTAAGGTTTCTTACTCTTGTATAGGCAAATATTAAGTCCACTTTTTCTTTGATCCACTAGCATTTATGGAATGCTGAAAGCCCTTAGAAGTAGTGTGTTGCTGGGAGACAATGTTTAAAATAAGTAAAATTCACCAACATCACTTGAAAATCTAATCAGAGTTGCAAAACTGTAATCATTGGCTACAGCTGGAACAGTGATTGGAAAATCTCCTCCAGCCTATAGGTAAATTAGAGCTTAAAAGGGAGGTGGTGCACCCAGGTCAACCCAACAAAGGTCAGATAAGCCAAACTGAAAACTAGCTCTCGAAAGTGATTATAAAGCGTGGTCTGGGGGTGGGTGCGGGGGATGATCATAGGAAGGCGGCACCGTAGACTTTGGCGGAGGGCCATGGGTGTTTTGATGGTGGGTAAGTTGTAACAACAGCTTACCAGGGAGATCCTATGTTTTTAAACAAATGATGCAAACTAATGTTATTTCAGTAAGTAAATGAGCGAGTAAATAAATAAATATCATCGGGAAGGACTTCTAAGCTCATGTCTTATTAGCTGACGTAAACAGATTCCCTGCATGCTCACTTTTCTAAAATGCAAAATGTCAGTTACACTATGGCGTCCACTTATTTTCTGAAAATTATTAAGAGAAAGATAAAGCTTCCAGATCGAGGGTCGTATTAAAACAGCAAATCACGCCCAACGCGTAATCAGCGTGGCTCTGCCTTTGGGGTGTCCCGGAGTCTGTGGGCAACCAGCAAGCAGCAGCGTGACCCTCACCCTCACGGCTGAGGGGCACATTTCCAAGCTAACAATTAAGACGCTTTGTTTCTCAATAAGTCTACTTCTGGTATCCAGGGGAAATGTGTTTCCTTAAACTGGTGATGAGGACAGGCGCTCGGGCTGGAGAGGCCGGGACGGTGGTTGCTTCTGTGCCAAAGCGGTGGCTGAGGCAAAGGGCCGCTGTCGGCTCAGATCCAGACGGGAGAGACCGTGTTCCAGCCCCAGGTGTTTCTGTTTCTGACAGGTGTCAGGAGGCGGCCCCGGTTACAGCACTAAAAGCTAGTGGTTTCTCTGCAAATGCAGAGGCAAGTTTGTTAACTGCTTTTGCCTTGATGCAGGAATCAGGAACAAGCTGAGCAGGTAGAGAAGGGGGAATAGAGCCAGTCGCTAAGTTATAAAGGGAGAAATGTTCCTTGGTTAAACTCAGGGATATTCCAAAAAAAGGAACCACAGCAGTTTCAATATCACCTGCATTTCAGAAAGAATGTGATCTCCTGTGATTTGAAGGTATACAGTTATCAGAATTATTTCTTTGCCCCTAATTAAGTAGTTATATGATTATAATAATGAGATGGAAATCTTGTTTGAGGAAACTTTTGTCCACTCTCCATGCATAGCTAGTGACAAAACACATAGCAGGTTGCTAGTGTTGTGCAGGCGGCTCACAGACCCCTACTGAGGAAACGACATTAATCCCTGAGGGCGGGGTCAGTAAAAGCAGCGTCAGGGTAAGAAACCGGGATGGAGGAAGGAGGCTGGAAAACAAACGATTGCCTGAGAAGATTTTCTGGGCAGATTATGCATGTGAAGTGGCTGCTAAAATGCACGGTGGCGGGTTTAAAAATCTCTATAATTTCTTCCCCACCAAACTTGCAAAAACCTATAAAAATAAAGAACAAGTTAAAAAACTTTGACTTAAAGGAAAATAGATGATTGGATGAAAGCATCTTTGATGAATGAGCTTAGAAGCAAGATAGCTCGCACTCAGTTATGAATGAGGAACAATCAGTGCTGATTTTGAGTTTAGTATAGCTCAGGAGTGAGAATAAACAGCCACACGGAGAGGCTGGAAGTCCATGCCAGCACGTCCAGTTTGAGGGAATCTTGACACTCTTAGATACTGATTTCTTGAAGCCAGAGTGACCATGAGGTAATCTGTTATTCATCAGAGTTTGCAATGAAATTATACCCATGGGACTTAATGGAATGCTCCATAAATCCCATAGAGAAACTTGGGATGATGTTTACATAATATTAATGTTATAAGAAAGAGTGAAGAAAGAAATACCTATAAAGGAGAAATCAAGCACAAAACCTATGCTGAGAATGTGGGCATCTTGCAGTAATATGTCTAGAACATGACAACGTGTGGTTAACAGTGTCAAATGCCAGATAAAGCTAAAATAAATGATCGCACTTCACTTAATTGCCTAGATATCAGCTGTTGATATGTTCACTGCAGTGTCTTTTTTTTAATTTTATAGGTTTATTTTTACATCTTTTTGTACTTTTTTTTTTTTTATCTCAATTGTAATCCCTGCGGGCACTGCAATGTCTTAAGAGACAAACCCAGAGTTGGGGAATAAATGGAAATTATTGAAGATTTCAGAATTGAAATCAGAAAATGTTTAACACATACGTGAGATAACACAGTACTATTGATAGCTGATAAGTGGAATCTGCATGTGTTTCAGCCAGACAAGAGCAGTGGGCAATCAAAAAACATGAGGATGTTGCTCCTGTGTGGGCCTGTCAAGAACCTATAGAGCTCAACTATAAGGAATAGAAGAACCTAGTGAAGAAATGGGCAGAATATCTAAATATACACTTCTTCAAGGAAGACATATGACTGGCCAGTGCACACATAAAAGAGTGCTCAACATCACTTATTATCAGGAAATGCAAATCAAAACCATCTCATTCTGTGAAAATGGTCCCTATTGAAACAAACAACAAACCCCAGAAATAATGTCAGTGAGTGTGTGGAGAAAAAGTGGGCCTTTACACTGTAGTGGACATGTAGACTTGTCCAGCTCCTGTGGAAATCAATGTGGGACTCTCCAAATTATTATATTAGATTTTCCAAGGGTTGCAGCAATCCTGCTCTTTGGAGTTACCCAAGGAATGTCTGTTACAAAATTGTACATTAACATGTAATTTTTAGCAATAGTGGAAATGATTTATTTTTAGATTTTGTTTTATTTTACTTATTCATTACTAACAAATATTTTAAGTGAAAAAGAAATTTTATAGTTTTTTTTTCAGTCTACAGTTCTTGTTAAATTAGTCATTATAAAATTAGTGACTTTCACATTTCATTTTATCGATATAGGGAAATTAAAAGAGATTTATGGGAAAAACACAGTTAAAGGTTAGTCATTACCTGAAAACATTTTTACAGATATGCAATAATGATATATGTATTTGCTTGACTAAAATGTAAAATGTATTTATTATTAGATGCTCATAAAGCAAAGTTTTATAGCAATTTAATGTCACATTAAAAGAGCAGAAACTTAGTTTTAAGTCATTATAAAAATATACATTGCTTGCTCCTTATAAATGAATCTTCCTTCCTCCTTCTGAGTATCATATGTCTCAAATTTAAGCACAGATTATAAGCAAGCCACGAGCCAGGAATGAGAAACCACACAGCAATAACCACCTTCATCCTCCTGGGACTGACAGATGACCCACAGCTGCAGATTCTGATTTTCATACTTTTATTAATCGCCTACCTGTTGAGCATCATTGGAAACGTGACCATCATCATCCTTGTGTTTGTGGATAACCACCTTAACACAGCCATGTACTATTTTCTCCAAAATTTTTCCTTCTTAGAAATTTCATTCACTTCTGCCTGCATTCCTAAATTCTTGTACAGTCTATCAACGGGAGATAGGACCATTACCTATAGTGATTGTCTAAGTCAATTATATTTTGCATATGTGTTTGTAGTAACAGAATTTTTTCTCCTGACCACGATGTCCTATGACCGGTACGTGGCCATCTGCAAACCCCTGCACTATGTGACCATCATGAACCGCAGGGTCTGCCAAAGGCTTGTCATAGGTTGTTGGATGGTGACTCTGTTGTTGATAGTCCCACTGTTTATTTTGATCCTGGGCCTCAAATTCTGCAATGCTAATACCATTGACCACTTTGTCTGTGATGCGAATCCACTGATAAAGATCGCATGCTCAGATACTTGGCTTGTAGAGCAGATGGTTGTTGTCTGCTCAGTGCTGATCTTCATCCTGACTCTAGTGTGTGTGGTTTTGTCCTACGTTTATATCGTCAGAACAATCCTGAGGTTCCCATCAGCCCAGCAAAGGACGAAGGCGTTTTCTACCTGCTCTTCCCACATGATTGTGCTTTCTATCTCCTACGGCAGCTGCATCTTTGTCTACATCAAACCCTCAGCAAAAGATGACATGACCATGAATAAGGGGATCACACTGTTAAATACTTCCATCTCCCCCATGTTGAACCCATTTATTTATACTCTGAGGAACAAACAAGTGATACAAGCCTTTAATGACTTAGTCAAAAAATTGCACTCCTCTCAAGGAATTAGGGTAATGACATAGTATAAGGTGCTTAGCCATCCTTTTAACCTACCCCTCTTTCTTTACTTCTTCTAGATCTATGTTCCCATAAACTAGAAAGCCCTATCAACAAACAACTTACCTTTCCTTATAGTGTAATCTATTTGTTAAAATTGGTACAAGAATAAGATTGACTTAGAGTCAGTAATTAAATAGCTTCCTGTATCAACAGTTCTAAACAAATACATAGAAATAAGCTTACTGAGTGCACTGATAAGAACAATATTCAGAATTTGTGAAATAGATTGCCCAATTGAAGATGGAACTTAACAATAGTAGAGCATTTCACCTTTTTTTCAAAATCTCCTGGATGGGATTTAGATGATTATTATTCAATATTTGTTATCAAGATGGAACTAATGATTTTATTTAAGAAGGAATTAAACTGGCCCTCCCTGGTGGCGCAGCGGGTTAAAGCACTACACTAACAAGCTAAAGCCACTTCAGCATGTGTTCAAACCCTGCTAGCCCAGGAGGTGACCACATGGTGCGGCAGACCTCCCCTGATCTGCCCACTGCTCCCCTCAGCAGTGTACATCGTCGGGGTCCGCCTGTTCCGCTCCCCACTCTGTCTCTGGTGAATCCTCTCACCGCCCCTGCACCTCTCGCCTGTACTCAGTTCTGTATGCACAAATAAATAAATCTTTAAAATAAAAAAAAAGAAGGAATTAAACTTTAGATCACAAATATGACAAAATCTTTTTTGTATTGATCAAACAAGTACCTACTAAAACAATATGTAAATTTCCAGTTGTCAAAATACTTCAGTTTAAGGCCTATTTAGAACCTTTCTTTTTAATAAGTGTTTTTATTTTTTAAAACCAGGATTATAGATTGGTTCAATATCTTCTCATAGATTTTTTCATGAATATGGTCCCTAAGATAAAATACTTCAAAAGGGTTTTGAATGATTTATCATGTTGTCTAAAAATCTTTTACCTATTGATAACTCTATTACCTTTTCCCTCTCTACAAAAATCTACTCTATACCAAGATTTTATCTTTTGTCTTACTACTTTTCTATCAACTCAAATTATGCCTGCCCAAGCAATAATAATCTCTTCTTTGTATAACTACTTCCGAGCTTCAAAAAGGGTAGAGGATTTTCTGTGTTTCACAGTGATTTCAAGTTGAGTGAGATCAACTTACTGTAATTTTCATATTAACTGTCTCAATCTACTTTGTTGTTTATTGACTAAAAATGACAATGAGACATATTTCTTTTATGTACTCTCATGTTGTCAGCCTCTGAGTGGATTCTAGTTATTTCTTCATTAATTTGTGAAAGTGTAGGTTTCTGAGCTGCTGCTTCTGGCAAAGAACATTGGCCCTAAACAATGTGTGCAAAGAATTGTCTTAAGGAAGCTGTCTGCCTCCTAGTCCATTTCTCTTTTAGTCACTGATTGCCAAACATATATAGTTAATAAAAATAATAGTGACTGCAATCATCGGTGTATGGCTAAACTCTGTATATTTATATGCTGTAAGTTATTTAGCATGTTTAATCAAAAAAGGGACAACTTAAATCAGCTTCTACAAATCATTGGTGAACTTGTCTTTGATTTCCACAAGAATAGCCCTAGTTTATATTTTGAAAAACTCTCCACATCCTCAGTATTTTCATATGCACATACCGAGGAGCCTGCATTTTATTTCCTATGCAAAAAAAAAAAAAAAAAAGCAATAGATCGTAATGTCATGATTATGAATGTTCTCATATTCTAGGGAATTTTTTCAGTGATGAATCCCAAAGAATACTTAAAGTGTGACTCAATTGCAAAATGATGGCATTTATTTTCTGTGCTTCTGTAAACTTTCCCCCTTCTCATTTTTATCTCTGCATGCCACTTTGAAATGTTACAATAGAAAAGGTTACATAGCAAAAATGCTGTCCGTGCAGGGCCTCAGAGAAAGGGAAACAGGTAGTTAAGGCTGTTCATTCCAGCACCTCAATACCAGGACTCAAAGTTTAAGGCTGCCAGTTAAGGAGTCTCGGTAAAGTGGTTAAAACGGCGACTGGTTTACTCAGAAGAGTGCTGTCTAAATAAGCCGTGTATTTCTGCTTGTCTGGATCAGCAGGACCAACCACTCCGATTTAGTTTGAGCACTCAGCGGCAAGTGCAAATCCAGAGCATGGACCCTGCCCGGCGGCGCAGTGGGTTAAAGCACAGCACTAAATGCAAAAAGCAACTGCAGCATGAGTTCGATCCCCACCGGGAGGTGACCCACATGGTGCAGCAGGCCTCTCCTGACCTGCCCGCTGCTCGCCTCAGCAGTGTGCTTTGTCCGTCTGCCTGTTCTGCTCCCCGCTCTGTCTCTGGGGAAGCCTCTCACCGCCCCTGCACCTCTGGCTTGTACCCCAGTTCTGTATGCATAAAGAAATGAATATTAAAAAAAAAAATCCAGAGCACGTCAATTCTTCCTTTCTGGACTTACAGTTCACCCAGTTTCATCACTGTACTCCAGTGTTGCCTCAGGGGCGCGCTGAGTCCCTTTCTGAACACCTAGAAACACTGAAGCAGGAACTGCCCTGAGCGTGCCCCGACATCAGCCTGGAATAAGAACGGAGGGTGGAGGGCAGATGGCAACAGCGATTTTAAGGTACTTCCAAGAAATACGTGACAGCAGTAGAAGGGGCTCGTGATGATCCTCGTGTCCAGCTGGGGGACTGAGGGACGCAGGGATAGCTGGTAGGCGCTGGTCAGGTGTGGCTGTGAGGGAGTTTGGGGAAGAGATCAGCATGTGCCGGATGGCGGAGTAAGTAAGATTGCTGTTATCCATGCAGGCAGGCGCCAGGCAATGCATTGAGGTAACAGAGTGAACGAAACTATTAAATCTACCTGTAACACTAAAGCGAAGATCAATATTCCCAAACCGTTTGGAACCTTTGCTTCACATAGAGGCGTGTCATGGCGCTCACCGTGTTACGTGGCAAGACCGGAGACATTTCCCTGAAGTTCCCCCAAATGAAGCCTGGGGCTGGATCCACTCAGTGGTTCTTGTTATGGCTGCAGGACGCTACTGAAGAAGAGGATCAGGGAACTTTGAACCCACAGCATGACTCTTTCCATTGCTCTTCAAATTGTGGGTCCTTCCCTCCGCCATCTCATATCCCCTCTGACCCTTTCTTCCTCTACCCTGTCTCTCAACATTAGAAACTTGACTTTGTTTATTAGTGTTTCATTCTAAAGAAAAAATGTCTTTTACTTGATCAGATACTCTGCTGTGTAAGAATCCACAATTTGACTGTGCTAATCTGACTTGCTTCACTACACACAATTCTCTCAAACTTAATAATCAAAAGTCTGTCAAAAAACAAAATTGTAGGACCACATAGTTTCACTACAAGTGCCTAGAAGCTTTCAAAGACAAATAAAACTGGCCCTAATTGAACTCTTTTATTTTCTTTGATGCTTTCTTATGTATTTAAAATCAAATTTGTTAACTTATATATCTATTTACATTGTTGTTCATTTTTTTTTTTGATTTATTTATTTGTGCATACAGAACTGGGATACAGGCCAGAGGCTCAGGGGCGGCGAGAGGCTTCACCAGAGACAGAGTGGGGAGCAGAATAGGCAGATCTACTAAGTACACAGCTGAGGGGAGCAGCGGGCGGGTCAGGAGAGGTCTGCCACGCCATGTGGTCACCTCCGAGGCAGGCGGGAATCGAACTCATGAGGAAGTGGCTTAAGCTTCTTAGTGCTGTGCTTTAGCCCGCTGCGCCACCAGGGAGGGCCCCTGTTGTTCATTTTTAAGACAATGTTCCTTCCCCTCTTCTCCAATTCACCCACTCACCATCACCACAGATATCAACGTCCCTCCTTCCTCTTTCAGAACCTTCTCCCTCCCCCCTGCCCTGTAGGATGTAGTATAATTGTGAACTCTTTCAAATATTAGAGAAGCAGAAACACTTCCAAACACATTTCATGAGGTCAACATTTCCTTGACACCAAAGACAGAACTCCACAAAAAGAAAACTAGAGACCCTGTCCCTTATGAACGTAGGTGCAAAAATCTTTCACAAAATGTAGCAAACCAAATACATTAAAAGGGGACTAAACGGGATTATTTCGGGGATGCAATGATGACACACTGTCATTGCATCCATGAGCATAATTCACTACCCCAAACCATGTAAAGATAAGACTCTGGCTGGGTTGAGGACCCGAAGGGCGAGAGCACAGGGCCTGGGCTGGGGTCCTGAGTGCTCTGGGTGGATGGAGCAGGGCAGCAGTGGCTGAGGGGGTGTCCACTTTTATGATGGAAACATGCTGTAAGCCAGTATCAACTCAATAACAATGTTTAAAACATAAACTTAATATTATCATATCAATAGGTCCAGATAAAATATTTGAATAGACCTATCATTCATCTCAAAAGTTGGGACAGGAGGAGCTTCCTCAACACGATTTGGACCATACACAATAACCCGCAGCTACGTCATAGTCAGTGTCGAGGATCTGAAAGCTTTTCCTTTAAGAGCAGGTACAAAACAAGATGCCCACTCTCGCCAGATGCCCACTGTCGCCAGATGCCCACTCTCACCAGTGCTTCTCACTGTATTATTAGGACTCATACCTGGGAATTAGGCAAGATGAAGGACTAAAATAGATCTAAATTGGAAAAGAAGTAAAATTATGACTACTTGTGGGTGACATGGTAGTATGTCTAGACACCCCAAGAACCTCCATAAAATCTATAAAAAAACAAGTCAGTGTAGCGTAGTGGTAGCTACGACATCAACACTCAACAGTCTGGTGCATTTCTATATGCAAACCAATATTTAGAAGAAGGAACAGTCAAGAAAACCATACCAGCAAAAAGAAGTAGATAACTAGGTATCTACTTTACTGAAGAATTGAAAGATGTACACAATGAAAATTATCATATAGAGAATGCAAAGCAATTAACATTATCAAAATGGCATCTTACCCAAAATAATAGATATTGAATATGATTCCTATCAAGATTTAAGGACA